ATATGTTGATTATTAGATTATTTTTGGTTTCAGATCCTTCTCATCATTCTGGAATGTTTGCTAAAGTTACATTTAGGCTTTTAAATGTAGGTTATAAGTGAAATCAGTCAAAAAATGTGTGAATTGTTCTCTACTTGTCCAATTTTAACTTTAAGTATAGAGTAGCCTTGTAAGATTATGAGGCTTCCTTCCTTCATGAAACAGTTTACATACAAAAGGAACTACCTTTACCATAAACATTTGATAAGTTGTACTGTGGGCCAATAGTCTAAGTTTCTGTTGAAGGGACATTTGCCTGATATTTCAGTTTGAAATAGTTGATGCCTCGTCATCAGATTAGGTTCTCTGTTTTGAGTGAAATATCCATTTGATCAAAGTTTCCAAGTTCCTTGTTAATAAATGGTTTAAAATATTCACCTATGACTTTTAAAGTCTCTACTGTATCTGTAATGGGGTTTTTTTTTTTGAGAATTAAATCATTTTTTGATCACACATGATAATGGATGATACACAAGCTTCATTCCCATCTATAATTTTATCTGATACTTTTATTCAATTTAGATATATTGCATAGGATGTGCCAAAATCATTTTTATAACCAATAATTCTATGATTTTGCTTGGGTAATTTTTAGTGGCGAACTTCAGGTCACAACAATAACTCTCAGTTCAACTACACCAAGGTTTCTGAAGATAATGGCTTCTTCACCCAAGCAGGTTGTATATAAACTCCAGATAGAACCTGGCATCACCCTGAAGGAATTCTAACTTTACACTGTTGGGGGAGATTTACCAAGATGGCTTCAGAGTAGACTAACTTTACACAACACATTTAAAGAATAAGACATGTATTCAGCATTACGATCAGACTATTACATTCAGCAATCAATAGCATGAGTACAAAAAAAAAAAATGTACATTAAAACTCTTTGTTGGAATGCTTTACACCTAGAACAGAAACTAAAATAACCTGTTATATAGTTAGTCACAAATACGGTCCTTGAGTTTTTTTGCCCATACACATGAGTATTTGTCTAAAACATGTCTTCTTTGTAGCACTAAGCCCTGTCGCCACTGTGCTTGGCTGAGTTCACAAATCTCTTGTAACCTGTAGCTTCTCTGTCACTTCTCTGGCTCTCCTCTTCTGCTAAGCTGTGTTTCCTAATTAAAATCTTCTGCCACTGCCATAGCTACTGCTGCTACTGGGACCGACTGCTCTAACTACCTTGGTTTCACGGCTTGGCAAAGTATTGGCCTCCACCACCGCAGGGGCCAGAGCTTCTGCCTCCGTTTCCTCCCTTCATGGGTCCAGAATTTGAAGACTGATTATTGTAATTGCCAAAATCACTGTAGCTTCTACTACCTCCAAAATTGCTTCCATCATTACCAAATCCATTATAGCCATCCCCACAGCCAGCATATCCACTACCACGGCTGCCACCAAAGCCACCATGACCACTAACATTTCCTTCATGACCAAAGTTGTCATTCCCACCGAAGTCACCTCCACGACCACCACCAAAGTTTCCAGAACCACGGAGTCATGGTCGTCAAAGGTTGTAAAGGCAAAGCCCCTTGTCTTGCCACTGCCTTCATCTGTCAAGATTTCAATAGCTTCAGTTTTTCCATACTGTTCAAAATAATCTCTTAGGTGTTGTTCTTCAGTGTCTTCTTTAATGCCTCCAACAAATATCTTTTTCATAGTTAAGTGGGTACCTGATCTTTGAGAATCTTCTCTTGAGACAGCTCTTTGGTTCCATAACTCTTCCATTCACCTTGTGAGGCCTTGAATCCATGGCTGATCCACCTCCTCCACAGCAGCATAGTGACAAACCCAAAGCCCCTGGAGCACTTGGTGTTTGGATCTCTGGTGACCACACAGTCCGGGAGCATTCCCCATTGCTCAAAATGGCTCCTCAGGCTCTCATCGGTTGTTTGAAAGCTCAGCTCTCCAATGAAGCTCTTCCTCAGCTATTTGGGTTCTTTAGGAGACTCTGACTTAGACATGAGGGCAGGCAGATGAGAGACTTTAACGATGCTTTTTCTGTGGCATCCATGGGCAGAAAGGAGCAAGCTGACGAATGTATCTTGAATCTGTAGTTTTGAGGCCCTTTTCAATTCTTAAAAAAAAAAAAAAAAGAATTATAAAGAAGATCAACAAAAGAACACATCAATGCAGTCAGCTCTCTGTATATGGAGGTTTCACATCTGTGGATTCTGCCAATTGTAGATAAAAAATATTTGGGGGAAAACAATTTAAAAATACAACAATAAAAAATAGTAAAAATTTTAAAATATAACGTTTACATTGTATTAGGTATTATGAGTAATCTAGAGATAATTTACAGAGGATGCAAGAGGATGTGCATAGGTCATATGCAAGTACTACACCATTTTATTTAAGGGACTGAGGATTTTGGTAGCTTTGGGGACCCTGGAACCAATCCCTTTCAGATAATGAAGTACAACTATATGCGGTTATCTGATAAAACTGGTAAAATAGTCATCCTTCTGTTAAGAAAAGAAAGAAGAAAACACAAATATTGTATGTAATTGAAGGTCCCTTCGGATTCCAAAATTCCATGATTCTATGATTGTGGGTTATCAAGTTCCTACCAGGAGGCTTTGCCTGTCCAGCTTCAGCCTCTTTGCCATTCCCCATGGTTGCTAAACCGTAGGACAATCCAGGGATGGAGGCAAGGCTCTGCGTCTCCTTCACCCGGTGTATCCATTAGCTCATGCAGTTAGAGGAGAAAGCACCGCTGAATGCACTGATGTAATGTAGTCATTGCACACACCTGGCATCTCTGTCATGCGCTCTTCAAGCCGCTAAAACATCTACGATGTAACAGGGACTGTGCAGAATAAAGAGATTCAGAGGAGGAAACAGAGATACACACTGCACCCTCAAAAATGGCAGCCTCTCAGGAAGACAGCCATGACGTAAGTAATGACGCAGACGGTGAGGATGGAAAGTGTTGTGCAAGAGAAGGATAGGGTGCGGTAACGGGATTGACAGTCTATGAGGATCCCAAGTGAACAGCGTGGCTGAGGGCCAGAAGTGGGGTAGGGACGGTGGGAAGTGGTATGTGGAGGAAGCTGCTTAATGTGTTTAAGAAACCCAGTAAGCTGGGCTGGCCTGAGCCTAGAGAACACGGGAAAGAGGTAAAAGCTTTTAGGAATTGGAGGCTTTCTCCTGGGACATTGGGGAGCCACTAGATGGTTTTACCACTACTGCTAGTTAAACACTTGATAGAAACTCTACATCTCAGTAACCATGATCTGTAGTTAGCCTCTTATTCCCCAAACAAAATTATATTTCTCTGTTCAAAAAAGCAAAGGCCAGTAGATATCCCATGTCTGATACCTACCTATTAGTGGATTAAATCCTTTCTTTTTAGTTACATCATTAAACTTATTATATTTGTTAGCTTGAAATAGACTCGTACTACAATAAGTTGTCTGGGTTTTTCTTTCAAACTGAATGGATTTTAAACTGTCTTTACCATAATGTGTATTTTAATAATGTCTTGGGGGATGTGTTCTGGCTGACGGCATTACTGTCATATGGACTGTTGTCCATGAATTGCTGACACATGTTTTATTGGGGCACCTTCTCCCATTTCTCTGTCATCATGCCTTGCATCAGAACTCAATAAGTATGTTAACTCGGCTTGCATTAATTGAAGTGGAGATTTCTTGCTAATTCTTGGCAATCTCAGTCTCTTCTCTCCCTAAAATTCCCTTTTCCATAAAGGACAAAAGGGTATTGTCAAAAGGAAAAGCAACCTGTGTAACCACCAAACTGCCGTCATCTATTGTTACATTAACCCCTGGGTCATTTATCACAGCATCGTGACTTTACGACAGAAAACAGAATACTTCTCAGGAGCCATCATATTTTGTCAATAGTACCTAGATGGTAACTTTATTGTGTTTGTATGAAATGTGTGTTCCAAACTGATGCATTTGTTTTGAAAACTTTATTGATATTTCAAGTTGAATAATCATTCATGTTTGAGCATTTAGTTCTTCAGAGATTTTGCTATTTAAAAGTTTTATACTTTCTCTGATCAATGATTCACCAAAGAGTTTATAGTGATGTCAGGCTTGGCTTACATCAGTTTGTAAATTTGCCCTTTTAAAAAAAAAGGTTTGGCTTTGTGAATTCCCTTAGGATTTCACAGTTATGTAATGAAACTTTTTTTTATTGCAGCAGTGACTTTTAGACCAAAACATACATACATACACACATATATCTATGTATAATTGTGATGTATGTATGTGAGAATTATATATGTAGTTATGATATGTATGTATGTATGTGTGTTTGTGTGTGAAAGCAATGAACATGGTAAATTCTAAACATATCTAATTTTAAATGTCTGTCTTATATAATGGTGAACTGCTGAACTAATAAGCTGGAAAAAATGGAATAAAGTGGGGGAAATGGCTACATTTATGTTTATCACATCCTTAAAGGCGTAATTTGAAAAGTGATTCTCCAAGTGACTACTTAGCAACCCAATCCTTTATTTTAATAATTAGAAATACTAACAAATAATGACATTACTAATTGAAATATCAATTTTGATAAGCTCTTATATCTCTACTAAAATGGCTTTCTGAAACTATCACAAGAAGTTAATGAATTGCATCTTAATTAAATTTAAACTTTTCTCCTCTAATATTCAAATAGGAAAAACTGAAATGTGATATATTCAAATTGCTTTGTACCAAGTTGAACATTAATGGCAATATAAATATAATATATGGTAACGTTACACATGAATGTGATAAGAATCTGCAATATTCATAATGGAATTTGCTAATTTTGAATATTGATTTCTCTTTTAAGTTCATTTTGTTCTGCAAATTTAAATGCTGAAATAATGTTTTACCAGCATTCCCTAATTAGCCAAGTGAAACTTTTAATGAAAAATTTAAATATTCTCGTTCAACTAACAAGTTTGTATATCTTTTCTCCTCTTGTTTTATTAGCCTCTTAGCAAATATCCTGCTCTGATAAATGATATTTCATTCTGGTTGCCCTCTGAGACTTACGCAGAGAATGATTTCTATGACTTAGTCCGAACGATTGGAGGAGACCTGGTGGAAAAGGTTGATCTCATAGACAAGTTTGAACATCCAAAGTAAGTGAAAAGCTTTCTGATTTTACCCTTTACTGTCTCTATGTGATAAATGTCATATGGAAGCGTATCATAAAATTTTGCTGAAACCCAATGTATCTGAGACAAAATGTCTTCTGAATTTGTAGTGAATGTATAACTTATCAAAAAACTCTTTGATATCAGTCCTCTCTGAAAATCTTTCCAAGATGCATTTTCCATCTTTCCTACCTTAGTAAAATATATGAAACAGAATGTTTTAAGTCCTGCACCTTTTCAGTATTGTTTTTGGAAGTGACTTCTTACCTTAGCGTGTTCCAGGTACAGAAGAAATGAGTCAGAAAGAATAGTTTGTGTAGTAGAAGCTGTTTTGATAGGGTCTTAGCAAATCTTTATTAAGCACTTACCACACACCAAGATCTGTATTACGTCCTAGGAATTAAATGTGTTCCAGATAGTCTTATATTTGCCTTCTTGGAGCTTACAGTCTTCTGAGAGTGGCAGACATTAAATACATCATTATGAAAGTGTGCTATTATGAGGGGAAAATGCATTGGGTGTCATCAAAAACTAATTTCATGTGGGGAGTCAGGGCAAGCCTCTTTGAGATATGAAGCTGACAGTAGAAGGATGATGTGCAGTGAAGAAAGAAGAAGGAGCATTCCAGCAAGCACATGAGAGTCCTGGGGGGAGGAGGTCACGTGAGATGCGGAAGGCAGCCAACAGCACCTCAAGGAACAAGGGGGAGGCCGTGTAAAGTGATAATTGTTGGGTAGTGATGTGTTTCCAGGGCCAGATGGGGCCAAAACCTGCAAGGTCTGAGACTTTGAATTTTACCCTAATTGTAGTGAAAAATCATAGAAGGATAGGAGCAAAGAGATTAAGTGGTGTGATTTGATTTGCATTTCTGATTGGTCACCTTTAAATGGTCCCCTTTGGTTCCTAGCTGTTAGAGAACAAACAGTCACCAAATTGTGTCTAACTCACACCTCCATTTTCCCTTCCCCTCCTAATTGTTTCAGGTATGTCATACCTACATTGTCACGCTCGTGGCTCCCACATTCCATCCTGTCATTCAAACTCCCACCTGTTTCCTTCTTTGTCTTTTAAAGCATTCATTCTCTAGATAAAGGTGTTCAGTGTTCACTGCTATTTCTTTTGCTTCACTTTCCCCAGTCATCTGGATAACTAAAGTTCATCATCTAGAATTTTGCTAACAACTTGTGGAAGCAATAGACCCTGAGTTCTTGCATGTTCAAAATTGTTTATACCTGAATGACAGTTTGGTTGGGAGTAAAATCTTGGCTTGTTCTTTCTTTTAGGGAGGCTCTTGTAAGTGCGGCTCAATTGCTTTCTCAAGTTTAATTTCCCATAGAGAAATCTGATACCATACGTGATCTTTTTGCTAAAAGGCAAAAAAGGAATCCTTTAAAGGATTCCTTCATTATCTTTCAAGTTTAATACCTTTATCAGGCTCCACCACAGTATTGATCTTTTCTCCCTAGTATATATCATTGTGCCTCACAGATTGGACTGGACTCTTACTTACTTTAGGAAAGTTTTCTTGAATTTTATCTTTAGGGATTTTTTCTGATCCATTGTTCTGTTCTATTTCATTCTTCAGGGATCCAGTTAAGCATAAGTTGGCTGTCCTTTATCTGAATTCTGTACCTATTATTTTCTTTCTAATGTTTTAAAATTCTTTCTTCTGCTTCATTTGATATGCTTTCCCATTGTTATCTTCTCTATCCGTTACTGTGTTTTCTGCTGTCTTTTCTCACTTGTGCACCTTCCATCTGCAGTTACTTTGCTTTTTTCCCTGTTCTGAGTTTTGCAAGCTCACATTTCAGCTCCTCCTGTTTTCTCACCATCTCTTTGAGTAATTTCTACTTTCTGGTCTTCCTTCATAGAGAAATTGCTTCACTACATTTTAGAAATTCATTGTAAAATACTTAGCCAGAAATTTCATATGCTCCAATGGCAACATTTTTCTATGACTTTTCTGTTTCTCTGCCATTTTCCTCTTTTTTTCCCTCAATTCTTTTTTAATTCATCTGTCAATGGTATGCATATGATTGCCTTTGCCACTCATATTTTAATACACTGGATTTTCTGGACCAGCTATTTGCACAAGATTGGGGGGAGGCTGGGTCTTGGCATAGCAGGAAGGGGCTGGGGTAGACATTTAGCCTAGCTTGTTTTCACACCCTTAAGGCTTTTTCTCCACTGCCAACTCTTTCTTTGAACATGACTCATCTCTGATTTTTTGTATAGGTCTTCCTCCCACCCTAAATCTACACTTATTAAAAATAGAAGAATTACCTTTGCTTACCCTATTATCAATACTTGGAAATAGAGACTTTACACTTCAGATTGTAACCCTTAGCTCTTAAAAAAAAATGTTTTTGCTGGAGTTTTCTGAGATGTGCCACTCTGTGTGTTTCTTCTCTTCACTTCCTCTCATTTGGCTTCTTTTGATTTCAGCTGCTGTTGGCAGCCTTTAAATATATTTTGGAGCCTGCAGATGATAGCTGTCTTCTAACTTTACAGAAAATAAAATGTATGGGGTAGTCTGAATCCCTGATGCTACAGAGTGCCAATTCAGCCCTGGACTTTTATGTGAGAAAGAAATTTCCAGGAGTTTCCATGTTGATACTGGAAGTCTAGTTATTTACATCTGAAGAGAAGAAAAAATATTGGAACAAAACTGATTGCTAATTACCAATTGATATGCCAAAAGCCTATGACTTGTAATTTTTTTCCCATTCTTTTTTAGTACAAGTTGAGTCAGGTATCCCTTATCCAAAAAATTCTTGGGGCCAGAGTGTTTCAGAGTTTGGATCTTCTCAGATGTTAGAATATTTGCATATATGTAATGAGATATCTTTGGGGATGGGGCCCAAGTCTAAACACAAAATTTGTTTCATATATACCTATACATGTATCCTGAAGGTAATTTTATGTAATTTCATATAATATTTTTAATCATTTTGTGCATGAAATAAAGTTTGTGTGTATTGAATAATCAGAAAGCTTCAGATTTTGGAGGAGTTTGGATTTTGGATCTTCAGGTTAGAGGTGCTCAAGCTACAGAAAACTCTGGAATCAGGGATTTGGAATTCATTCTTAATTTTTGACCTCATAGTCTCTTGCTTTCTGATATGGTCGTAGCTTCACCCTTGCCAGTGTCAAAAGTGAGATGAGTAACCCTTTCTCATTGGAGATTTTCAGAACGTACAAGGTTACAGAGAGATGCCAAAAACCTAGGAGGCTGAGATAAATTTCTGTTGTGCTGGATGGGGGGGGGCGGGTAGATGTCACTTGAGGAGGGGGTAAACATTGACTGTTTCTGATAATTTGGTAGTGATCAAGGGGATGCTGAATGGGCATGCTAACTGGAGAGATTGCAGTGGGCGGGGCGTTAGCATCAGGGTCCTATGGACCCAGGGACAGATCAGGCAGGCAGGCAGTCCATTGAAAAAAGATCACTGGACTGTATTAGAAATACTCTATTAATGCAGATATACACGCACAACCCCATACGGACTGCTAAAAAGAGAACATATCCAGTTCCTTCTGAGGAGACAGTACTTTTGACTAGAAATTTAAAAACATTTCTCACTGGCACTAATATGACAATGTCTTAAATAGATGTTGTACAGATATTTAAAGACCATTTTTTGGAGCTATGCCAAAGGGCATGGCTGCCATTATTATGTGCCCCTCTTAATAAGGGGCTTGGTGATTAGAGTAAGCTTCCTGTGGCAGAGATTGCTAGTTATCCCTCAATATTCATTTCCCCCCGTCCTTCCGCCCACTGCCATCTTTGTAATAACATAACCTTGACTTTTTAGCTCAGCAACTTTCCACCCAACCAGAAGCCTATACTTCTAAGTTTGGTCAGTGATTTTTAAGTAAAAGTGTTTCATGGTATTTCCAGAAGTTTCCTTAAAAGTTGAATTGAAGATATTCTTTTTTCTTCTTGATACTTAGTTGTATCGGATGGCTAGTATTCTGGCAGCCATTTTGGGCCATGGTGCGGCCTGGGTGATGGAGACTGTCTGCAGTGGAGCAACAACGTAAAGGAAATAGCCCAGGGCTTGACTCTGTGTTACTTCTGCCCTGGACTCTTAGATGAGAGAGAAATACCTTGTTTAGGCCACTTATTTTTTAGATCTCATTATTGACAGCCAAAGCAAAACCTAGCTATGCTAGGACAGGGAAAAATACCTGAGGAAAAGGATACATCATTTAGTAACGATGGCTTACTGTGCCATGATCCTCAGTTACTATCTAGGGCAGAGGTTGACCAGATTGTGAATATTTTCGACTTTATGGATCATAAGATCTCTCTCATAACTACTGAAATCTGCAATTGCAAAAGCAGTCACAGATTAAAATATAAACAAATAAGTCTAGTTGTGTTCCAGTGAAGCTTTGACTACAATATCAGACAGTGGAAATGTGAATTTGGCGCATGGGCTATAGGTTGCTAACCCTTGATTTAAGGAAGGGAGATACATGGAGTTTTTGGTTTTTTTTGTTTTTTTTTTAAAGACTCTGACTCCTAAATTCTAAAACCCTCTACTAGGAGATCATCCTTTTTTGAACACCCTGTGCCCACCCTCCCCATCTCCCCACCAAGTCCCTGACTACTTAGGTGATAAGAAGTAAATGGTCTCCTGACCTTGAACCTTGACCCCAAGATTTATTTTATTCCCTAAACACATAAATGAAATATAGCCAGATAGTGCAGAAGAGCTCTGACCCTTTCTTTGCCAGCCATCAAAGCATGCCTAAGTGTGAGACAAGGACTGAGTGAAAGACAAGGTAGTTGAACATGTTTCACGTTATTTTCGGAATTAAAAACAGATCCCAGGATGTTTCAGGAGACATAAACTGCTGAAGAAGAGCCTGATTTCATAATATTAGACAATGGAGAAATTTTTTCTGGTTATAAATAGCAGCTTGTGCCCTGAAGGAGAATAGATGTTCAGGTTAGAAGAAAATGGTGCTTTGTCCTA